GTTCATCTGGTTAGGATGCCTCCTGGACTCCTCCCTGGTGAGGTGTTCTGGACACGTCCCACTGGGAGGAGGACCAGGACACGCTGGAGGGACTATGTTTCTCAGCTGGGAACACCTTGGGATTCCCCCAGAGGAGCTGGTCCAAGTGTCTGGAGAGAGGGAGGTCTGGGTCTCTGCTGAGGCTGCTGCCCCCGAGACCTGACCCCGGATAAGAGGAAGATGATGGATGTACGATAAAAAAAACCTGAAACTAACATCAGGAATCCTCTGGTATCTTCACTAAACTCTACACAGCATCACACTTTGTAATTAATTTCCCTCAGTAATCTTTTTAAACATGTAAATAGTTGTTGAAATGWTTGTTAAATATTCCATAAACCTGTTCCCTGAAGCAGAGCAGCTCCTTCAAACTTCTTCCAAATGAAAGCTTTACAACAAACTCACTTCCCTTAAGKTACTGGTGACTCTTTCTTTTAATTAACTTTGATTGAATATTAAAAAGTTGAGGAAATTTACTGACTAATTAACTGAATTTTTTACACTTTGTGATTATTTATAAGCCCTTTTCTTTAAACATTGAGAGAATCAGTAAGTTTCTAAGTAACATGTCTCATCTCAGCAGGATAATATGTCTGACATAAAAGGCCCCGCCCCCTGAGGTTGACCAGGTTATGGCAGTGAAAGTAGCAGCAGCTGCTGTGGGAAGAAGCCATTGTTWTTSTTTGCKGATRAGACAGTTTTTAGATCTGAGGAATAAAGCTTTTTAGAATTCACTTGGTTTTCTGCACAATTATTCTGGTGACCAATTAATGATCACATTTTTCTTAGAAGATAATATTTTTTATAAAAATAGATGTAGAGTCAAAGATGGTTCCCAGCTAAAACCATGACTCTGTCTGTGACCTGAAGGAGGGGATTAAACTGACCTAACACTGATGTTAACACTGATGTTAACACTGATGTTAACACTGATGTTAGATCAACACTTAAAACAGGACAGGCTCACCCCCAGAGACCAGATGGTGTCCAGGTCCTGAGCTGATGACAGGTGTTCCTTAGGGATGGTTTTACTTCTGGTTGTTCCAAACGGAGCTCCGGCCAACAGCTGGAACAGAACACATGAACACATGAACACATGAACACATGAACACGTGAACACACGAACACGTGAACACGTGAACACATGAACACATGAACACATGAACACATGAACACGTGAACACGCGAACATGCGAACACGTGAACACATGAACACATGAACACGTGAACACATGAACACGTGAACACGCGAACATGCGAACACGTGAACACATGAACACATGAACACGTGAACACATGAACACGTGAACACGCGAACATGCGAACACGTGAACACATGAACACACGGACACGTGAACACGTGAACACACGGACACGTGAACACATGAACACATGAACACGCGAACACGTGAACCCATGAACACGTGAACACACGGACACGTGAACACGTGAACACACGGACACGTGAACACATGAACACACGGACACGTGAACAC